AGAAGATTTAATTGTTAAAGCGCTCTCTCTTCTTGTCACTGTGTTACACTTACGCATTGCCAAAGTTTTGTTAGTCTTGCATGCTTAATAAAAGTGCTGAGACTGTTATTAAGTCAACTGCTGTCAGAGGTTAATGAAATGGAAAGGAGAAAAAAAAACCAATTGGACCCAGGCATTTTGTAAAGGAGACAGTGAGGTAGGAAGCACCAGTCAAGTTGAGAAAAGTAGCAAATTTCTGAGAAACTCTTGCAGTTCTGTTTTTAAGGAGGATTCGGACTGTGACAAAGAGTGGTCTGTTTTAACTAAAACGTAAGAGTTGGTGTTGATAGACACCTGCTAATGCCTTAATATGAAAATAAAAGCAAGGTTCATTCGATAATGCAGATTCGCTGGATTTCAGTACTGCTACTAACTCTTCCCATTATCAAGCAAAACGTCATGCTCTTCTTTTCTGAGAAAAGTGTGAAATTATGTATTATACATGGATTACTTTTACAGACCTGTACAGAGTCCTTTATCTTGGCTCCAGATCTGATGGAAGGGTGGGAAGAAGGCTTGCAGATGGATTGTATTTATGGCAAGTTATCATGATTGAATGTTTGTCCCACTTCTGAACTTATATGAAAAGTGATGTGAAATTGGACATCAAGGATTTTTCCAGGAATCCAGAAACATGGCACTGCCTATGTGAAATTCTACAACCTTAAGAGTTGGGTTTACCTGTCAAACTTTAGCATTGGTGATTTGAGTGGTGCTTTTCCCTTGCTTTGTTTAATCATCACTACACAATAGTCTACAGCACAACTTTTTTTTAATACAACTAGAACAGTTTTGGCTTCTTAAACTTCATATTTGGGTAGCTTTTGAGCTACCATATGTGTTCAGTGTGAATAGTGTTTAAGTTGAAAATATTGTAAAAAAATTATATTTTTTCAAAATATTTAAAAAAATAAATAATAGTAGAAATGACATTTTGATGATCTCTGGAGTGTTCATCTTGTTTAGAACATGTGGTTTCCCGTGTCCACGGGCGAGTGGGGGATTAATGAGGTTCGTCTCAGAAAATGGTGTAATAAGTTTGGTTGCAGTAGAAGAGAAACGGGCTTGAGTTAAATCTTCAGGCATGAGCAAACTTTCTAACTTGGGTACCGCATGTTAGCACTCCCTGCTAGGAGGACTAGCTGCCTGGTGATGGAAAGATGGAAGAAAGGAGAAAGAGGGAGAGAGGGAAGGAGGGAGGAAAGAGTGAAGGAAGGAAAGACAAAAGGGAAGGAAGAGTGAAAAGGTGGAAGGGAAGGATGAAAGGAAGGGAAGGATAAAGGACAAGAGAAAAGGAATGAAGAAAGGAAGAGAAGGATGGAAGGTAGAAAGGAAGGGAAGGATAAAGGAGAAAGAGAAGCAAAGAGAAAAGGGAAGGAAGGAAGGAGAAAGAGGAAAGGATGAAAGTGTGGTAGGGAAGAGGATGGAAGGAGAAAGGGGAGAGGTAGTTAGGGAGGAAGTAAAGAGAGAAGGAAAGAAAGACAAAGGGGATGGATGGAAGGGAGGGAGGAAAGAGAGAAAGGAGGACAAAAGGGTGGAAGGGAATGGAGGAAGGGAGAAAGACGGAAGGGGAGAGAAGGAAGGAAAAACAAAAGGGAAGAAAGGAAGGAGAAAGGGAGAGAGGAAAGGAAGAATGAAAAGGGGAAGGAAGGAGAGAGTGAAGGAGAAAGGAAAGTGGAAGGAAGGACGACGGTGGAAGGGAAGGAGAAAGAGAGGGAAGGAGGAAGGAATGAGAGAAGGATAGGATGGTAAGAGGGAGGAGGGCCTGAGAAAGGTGCCCAAGGGGCCACATCCAGCCCCCAGGCCTGGTTTTACCCTTACTTGGTCTAGGGCAGGGGTCCACAAACTTTTTAAACAGAGGGCCAGGTCACAGTCCCTCAAACTGTTGGAGGGCCGGATTATAATTTGAAAAAAACCATGAATCAAATCCTATGCACGCTGCACATATCTTATTTGTAGTGCAATAACACTTTAAAACAATACAATAATTAAAATGAAGAACAATTTTACCAAATAGAAACTTATTAGTATTTCAATGGGAAGGGTGGGCCTGCTTTTGGCTGATGAGATAGGGTTGTTGTTGTTCTTGTGTGTTTTCAAGTCGTTTCAGACTTAGGTTGACCCTGAGCGAGGGCCAGGTAAATGACCTTGGAGGGCCGTATCCGGCCCCCGGGCCTTAGTTTGAGGACCCCTGGTCTAGGGCCTATGCCCAGGTATGCCTGGGTGTCGGTGGGGCCAATGCTCACCTGCATTCTCCCTTCTCCAGCTCTAGGAAGGCCTGCCTCAGAAGGTCTCCATGGCAGTCTGCCGCCTCTCTTTGGGCAGGTTGTATTTGTGGGTCTTCCAGTTTCCTTCATACACCTTCTCCTCCCTCCCTCCCTCCCTCCCTCCCTCCCTCCCTCCCTCCCTCCCTCCCTCCCTCCCTCCCTCCCTCCCTTCCCTTCCCTTCCCTTCCCTTCCCTTCCCTTCAAACATCTCACCTAGCATCCAAATCACTTCATTCCCTTTCTTTTCCGGTGACATCAGGACCGCTTCACCTAGTAAGAGCCAGATAATCTGCTTCTGTCCCTCTGCTCTGGGCCGAAAAGGGATAGTTAATTCAAACCCCTCCATTATTTTAAGTTGGATAATAAAAGGCTTGTGTGCCAAATTTGATCCAGAAACATCAAGCCATGTAGGAACCTTTGTGGTACAAACGGACCAACCAACCAACCTGCATACAGAACATACATATTTTGACTTTAGATATATAAGAAGATACCTTGTTAGTTGCAGTGTTGCAAGTTGGACTTCCAACCTTGTGTTTCCTGTTCACATCTATGGTCATGACATTGTTGCCATAATCATAATTCCCCATAATGTAAAATCCAACCAGTCATACTAGGAGATGGAGTTCTGTAGCACAGTTGAATGGGACATTGAAGGATGGCATGTCCTGTCAGCAATGGTGGTGTGCAAAGAGATTTTGCCACAAACTCAGCTTCTCTTTGATTAACAATTGGTGGCTAGTAGGAGAGGGCTGGACATGTGACCCTTCAGTCTTGAGCTCACGAACACTGCAGAACACCATTCCACAATGCAGCCATCTGGATTTTAAGGTGGATTTCAGAGGTCAGGTTGAAAAATGGCACAGAGCTGTGACAGCGGGGTTATTAAGTGTTTGCTTCAGGATCTTGACCATTGTTTTGATACATCACATGTCGATACTGTGAAATTCTCGGACTTATTTTCTGAAAGTGGCTACACCCTTTATACTCAGTTGCACTCAAACAAAAAGAAACAATACAAATCACTGAAACATGCTTGTGTAATTAGATACAGGATTATTTCTGAAGCCCTGTGTTCTCATCAGTAGACATGCAACTTTGGACCGTCCTCTCCTATTTAATCAGCACCACTCATGTGACTTTGTAAGCATCTGAGAAAATGTCAGCATTCAAAATTGACAATAGTAAATAAGAGGAGCTGGTTTCACAAAACCTGATCCTTTCATAGGGTTCAAAATAGAATTGTACAACTTACATTTCTCAACATTTCCTTGATTCCACAATTGATTCCACAAGTTGGGATACTCATATTAGTTTCAGGCTGGCATCCTGTTAATAACACACAGATTTGGGGTGAAAGTATTCTGCTGACAGTGGCAGAAGCAGAGTTGCACATACAACAGTCTTTGCATTGTGGTTGCACATTGCACAACAGCACCCTATTGACCTGCAATACTAGTATTCTGCATAGTAGTAGCACAGCATATCACCACATGCACATATTGACACTGTGCTAAAAAGATATTTGAATTCCAGCCTCATGCTTCATTTTATTTCCATAGAGCGCAGATAAGTCTCTGAAGAACAAACTACTTTTAATACTGATGTAACATCTAGCCCCCCGTAGCGCAGTAGGTTAAAGTGCTGAGCTGCTGAGCTTGTTGACCGAAAGGTCACAGGTTCGAATGCAGAGAGCAGCATGAGCTTCCGCTGTCAGCCCCAGCTTCTGCCAATCTAGCAGTTCAAAAATATGCAAATGTGAGTAGATCAATAGGTACCCCTCCGGCGGAAAGGTAACAGCACTCCATGCATGGCCATATGACCTTGGAGGTATCTACGGACAATGTCGGCTCTTCGACTTAGAAATGGAGTTGAGTACCACACCCCAGTCAGACACGACTGGATTTAATGTCAGGGGAAAACCTTTACCTAACATCTAGTAGCATCCATTAGATTGATCTATATTAACCAAATTAATCCAAATTCCTTATCTAGCACGATAAAAGTGTTATCAAGGAACAAACAGTTTGCTCTGAAAAAGGCTAAAATCTTGGGGCATGAAGGAAAATGCGTTCAGAGCACTACTGGCTAGGGACGTGTTTTTATTAGCTTTCAATTGTTAACTGCAAGGGTTTGCCACCCATTCTTGAGTGTCGACAGTGCTTCACATACAGATGTATCAGCATTATAAGTTGGTGCCCCGAGGAAACTTTTTTGAACAGCCCCACTCCTTATATTTGCAAATAAAAGCTTAGATGTGCATCAGAAGTATATCTTCCATCTGCTACACATTTCTAATAGTGTTTTAATTACCAAAGTGTGAGTTATGCACAAAGTACAGGGTGTAAAATCAGAGTGTATTCAACTTGACTGCATAATTTTTACTGATGGACTTCAAATATTAACCTCTTGCTACATCCAAAACGGGAAAATTGCCTGTAAACGTGTAAACGTGGATGTCCTCACATTGGTGCAATTTTAAGTAGGCTTGGGTAAAAATGTCTCTACTTGCTTCTAATGGAGAAAAAAATATGAACAAGAATTCAATCACTGGACCGTCTTTACTTGCTTGGATGTGACTTAAACTCTGCAGCTCTGCTTGGATGTGACTTAAATACACTGGAGCCTCACACAGTCTGCTACAAATAGTCACATCTCTCCAGTCTTTTTCCATGATGCTCCGTGGGAGTCTCTTCAAACCTTTGTGCATACAGCTGGGATTGTAGTCACAGTGGGTATCGGTTCGGATATATCAGGATCCCTCCTTGCCTTGAAGTTAAACCCCATAAAACCTGGGCACACTGGCACATATTTCAACCACGAGGTCCTTCTAATCACATTCATCCCAAAAGGAAAGTCATAGCTCTTCAGTTTGGCAGATGTGTCACTGTTTGCGTGGGCTCCGGCCTTCCACTGTAGAAGTCCACGCTCTTTTTCAGTCCCTAAGAGAAAGTACAGATTAGTAAACGTAAATGAGTCTGGGACAAAGGCTGAATAACACTGGAGGGCTTAGAAAGCCCCACAAACAATTTCAGGAGGTAAGTGGGTTTTTTGTTAGAGCGTGGGTATTGAGTTTGAAGGGGTCGTACTATAAAATCAAACAAACAAGAGAAAGAGTGGCAAATATTTGCTTGTGACCACCAGCCTGGCAAGACAAAAGGATTGCACTGAAGTATTTTAAGTCCCTCTGCACATTGTTGAATGCCAAGCCTAAATATCTTGGAAAGGATTAGCGCAACTCTTGGCAAAAGCTGAAAATGCTGGCGCTGCCATACTGACTCAGATAACCATACTGTGCAAGTATTTTTATTCAAATGTCTTGGGGAAAGGGAACTGTAGACTACCCAAACAGGCACCAAACCTCTTAGATTCCCAATGACTGGGGTTTCTTGGAATCAAAAAAGCAATGAAAGCACAGCAATAAAACTATTATATTAGAGCCGAGGACCCTCTTGATCAGCGTTTCTCAACTTGGGTGTTGGGACCCCGGGGGGGGGGGGGTTATGAGGGGGTTTCAGAGTGGTTGCCAAAGACCATCAGAAAACACATATTTCTGATGGTCTTAGGAACCCCTTTGACAGAGAAGGCTGAAGATCTCTCTGCCTGTCCTTCTCTTCCTTTTTGGAAACAGACGGCGAATCCTCCCACCAAAAGCCTTCCTCCACTGTGATTGGCCAGCCAAGGGGAGGGCTGTTTTTGAGACTCCAAGTGGGGAGGGAAGAGCAGGCGTGCATGGCAGCATGATACGCATGTGCAGACAAGGGAGAGCGTGTGAGTCTGGAGGGAGGCTCATGCCAGCGAGTCCATTCAAGGCATGGGGGTTCTGTGTGGGAAATTTGGCCCAATTTTATTATTGGTAAGGTTCAGAATGCTCTGTGATACAGGTGAACTATAAATCCCAGCAACTACAACTTCCAAATGTCAAGGTCTATTTCCCCCAAACTCCACCACTGTTCACATTTGGGCATACTGAGTATTCACATTTGGGCATATTGGGCATATTGAGCCAGGTTTGGTCCAGATCTATCATTGTTTGAGTCCACAGTACTCTCTGGATGTAGATGAACTACAACTCCAGAACTCAAGTATTTTCTGTTGGTCAAGGGAGTTCTGTGTGCCAAGTTTGGTTCAATTCCATCATGGGTGGGGTTCAAAATGCTCTTTAATTGTAGGTGAACTATAAATCCCAGCAACTACAACTCACAAATGACAAAATCAATCCCCCCGCCCAACCTCACCAGTATTCAAATTTGGGCATATCAAGCATTTGTGCCAAATTTGGTCCAGTGAATGAAACTATATCCTGCATATCAGATATTTACATTATGATTCATAACAGTAGCAAAATTACAGTTATGAAGTAGCAACAAAAATAATTTTATGGTGGGGAGTCAGCTCAATATGAGGAGCTATATTAAGGGGTCGCGGCATTAGGAAAGTTGAGAAACACTGCTCTTGATGGTTACATAGAGACAACACATATCTCTGACATTGTCACTATGCCTTGCCCCTCCTAGAATTTTAAAAAATATTTTTCTGATGAAGAAAAAGGTTTTAAAAGTTTCCACACAATGTTTGCACCCTTCTGGCTGGCTAAATAATATTGTGCTTGTATTGATTTCAACTTTCTGAAGAAATCTGCTTCCTTGTGATGCCTGGGTAAACAGGAGGGACACCTGTGTACTGCCATAGTATTTATCTAATATTATTTTTAAGACGGCATAGATATAATACTCTATCATTCTGGCAGCAGAACTGAAGCCAAGTACAAATGCCTACACACACCCACTTCCAGCAATTAGTGCTGGCTTTAGTTTATCAATTAAGTAATTTCTCTGCAGTTTCCATATGGAAACCCTCATAAAGCATGTCTCAGAGCCACTTTGGATTCTTATTCGTCCAGGCACTCAAGCCACAAAATATAAACAGCTTCAGAACAGAGTGAAGTAATGAAAGAACTGTACCTGGGACAGTATTGTCCAATATGAATGCTATGCCTCCTCCAACAAACATTTCTGTGGTTAACAGCACTTTTAATATTTGGTCCACTTCACCAATTCCTATAAGTAATTAACAATATGCAAACATAAAATTAGCTCACCATTAAGGTATGAATATATGAAAATCCAATTGTTATGCTTCATTAAAAAAAACCCGTTTGGGTTTGATTTGTTCCAATCCATTACAAGCAGTCCCCGAGTTACAAACATCTGACTTACAAATGACCCATAGTTAAGAATGGGGTAAGACAACAGAAAGTGGAAGAAATCTACCTCTGCGATGGGAAAATTAACTCATGAAAAAGAGTTATCTTGGGGAAAAGGTGTTTCCACTGCAGCTTTCTCACTAAACCTTGTTTCCACAACAAGCCGAATTTTTAAAAATCCAATGATCACAGGGACAGAAAGCGAGGTGAAATCTTCTGAACAGAGGCACAGGAAGCAAAACAAACACCACAGAAGTGTTAATCCTTCCGTATGTTTTATGTTTTGTGTGTGTGTCTGGAGTTACACTTTTAAAAACTACATTTTTGTTAAAAAAAAAAGTAAAGGTTTTCCCCTGACATTAAGTCGAGTCGTGTCTGACTCTGGGGGGTGGTGCTCATCTCCATTTCTAAGCCGAAGAGCCTGCGTAGTCCTTAGATGCTTCCTAGGCCATCAGAGCGGCTCCTATTGATCTAGTCACATTTGCATGTTTTCAAACTGCTAGGTTGGCAGAAGCTGGAGCTAACAGTGGGAGCTCACCTCACTCCCCGAATTTGAACCGACAACCTTTCAATCAAGTTTAGCAGCTCAGCGGTTTAACCCACTGCACCACTGGGGGCTCTTTCGACTTACATACAAATTTAATTTAAGAACAAACCTATTTGGGGAGTGAATGTAATTGTATTTTTGCATGTAATATCACTCCCTAAACTAATTTTACTTCCTCCATGAAGCCAGGAGTCCTATTTTCTAACCACACTTCCCACACGAACCATCTCAGGGAGAGGAGAAAGCCATGCCTGCTACCAGCCTGCTGCCAGCTTTCCTTACAACTCGAAATCCTGCTTGCATATATAGTAATCAAAGTAAATCACCCTGAACTCGGAGCAAGATCTATTTCTATTACTACTATCCATTATTTGCTTCCACCTTTCCAGCAAAAAAGGGGCTGCCAGTTCGTAAGGCAAGTTGTTCTGTGGTCAAATAGTGGTTACCATTAGGAAGTTCTTAATTTTCTACTGAAATCTGCTCCCCTACTACATCCGCTCATGAGGTTCTAGCCCTGCTTCATGGAGTAACAGAGAGCACATTGATGAAGAAAGCAAAACATACCCTTCCACAGAAGCAGTCTGGACCTAAATCAATTTTTAGCCCCAACTACAGCAAACGTACTGAATTAATTGTTCAATCAGTGCAAATGCTGACTTACGTATCAATTTAGCTATTGATAAGTGAATTGAGTTTAGGTTTAGACAGTACTGGAATTTTCTGTACAGGCATGGTGCTTCTTACCTTACATCACACTTTTTTAATGCATTTTTAGCAATTGTATCACACTACTTGGCTGCTGCTCAGTTTGTGGCCAACCAAAATACTAAGATCTTTTGTTGTAAACCAGTTTTACCCCTTAGCCTTAACTCGTGCCTTTGCTTTTGAGGAATGGGGAAATGGAAGAGGAATTTCAGCTTCTTGAATTCCATCCAGTGAATATTGGTTCTGTCTTTTATAGGATTAGTTGTTCCTTCCAATTTCATGTCATGCAAATATACAGTCAGCAAGCTTGATGACTACTGAAACTGTACTCAAAAAGGAAGGACAGCCAAGGGAGTTTTTAGTACCATCCACAACCATGGATAATCCTCTAAAGATCTCATATCTCTGTAATCAAGCAAAGGCCGTGTTGGTTTTTCATTTTAATACCTGTGTCAATAGCATCTGGATGTGAATCTAAGTAGTTTGGAAGGGTGAGTCCAAAAAACATCGCAAAGCCCAGGACAAACAGGTTGCGGGAGGAGTTCATGTCAACAAACTGTAGGTTGGAGAGCCCCACTGCTGTGATCATGCCTAGAAAACAAAGAAGAATGAAAAGGAGCACATGAGTTTTAAAAAATACATGCATATTGGACATCTTGGAGCAATGGCAAAAAGAAAGCTAAGGTCTAGGCTTCAGCAGATGGTTGTGAGTGACATCCCAGTACACCAAGAGTGGTCTCCTTATGGTGCACTATGTCAGTGTAACAACATTGTTTTTGGTTAATCTGGCAAGAAGGAAAAGTCTGTGAGTGCTTCTCAGGATGGAACAAAGGCCCTTTCCACACAGCTGAATAAAATCCCACATTTTCTGCTTTGAACTGGAATATGTGGCAATGTGGACTCAGATAACCCAGTTCAAAGCAGATATTGTGGGATTTTCTGCCTTGATATTCTTTATAGGGCTGTAGGGAAGGGCCCTAAGGCAGTGGTTCCCAACCTTTGGTCCTCCAGTTGTTTGTCAACTCCCAGAAATCCCAGCCAGCTTACCAGCAGTTAGGAATTGTGGGAGCTGAAGTCCAAAACACCTGGAGGACCAAAGGTTAGTAACCACTGAACTAAGATATTTGAGAACTTGGTTGCTCAGATCTAACAGGTCCCTTTGGACTGCTGCATGACCCTGGAAAAGGTATAACCATTCACAGAGTTCACCAACAAGAGTCCAACTTGAATTTTGTGGTTATTGTGTGCCTTCAAAGTCATTTCCAACTTATGGTGACCTTATCTCATGGTTTTGAGAGGCTGTGTGTGACTTGCACAAGTCCCCTAGTGAACCTTCATGGTCGAGCAGGTATGTGAGTCTCCAGAGTCCATCGCTCAAACTCCTATGTTACAGTGGCTCGTGACTAAAAATATTCTGAGATAAAAATCAGGGGTTCATTTGAAAGCAGGGATGATTTCTAGAAAGTTCAAAATAAAAGGCTCTGTGTCTTTGTTACTTTGCCTGTAGTACTTGTCCCTTCGGAAGGAAAGTGCTTTGTTTGAATTCAACCCTGTGCACATCTGCTGATGGAGTTATAGCTCTAATACGTAATATTGTAAAGCTATGGCAACAGAGAAAATTGCACATTACGCATGTTCAAAGAAAAAGCCAATGCCTTTTGGAAGGAGGGTATTTAAAGTAGGAATGCATCAGGGGAATAAATGGGACTAAATCTTTTTGTACATGACCATGTAGATAAACAAAATATTGCAATCCTCATTGAAGGCAAGGAAGTTGTTGGGAAGGATACATTTGGAGTGAGGAAAGCGTTAAGCAATCACATCACCTCTTATCTCTCAATTTCCTCTTCCTAAAGATGCTTCAGGAGGGAGGGAGGGAGGAAGGGAGGGAGGAAGGGAGGAAGGAAGGAAGCGTGGCGCAGCTGGCTGGGAGTTAGCTGCATTAAGATCACTACTGACTGAAAGGTCATGAGTTCGAAGCCAGCCCTGGTCGGAGTGAGTGTCCGACCAATTTGTGTAGCTTGCTCTCAACCTTTGCAGCCCGAAAGACAATTGCATCTGTCAAGTAGGAAATTTAGGTACTGCCTATGCGAGAAGGGTAATTTAACTAATTTACAATGCCATAAAAATCTCCAGCAAGCCTGCAAAGAACGAGGAAGTACTTCGTCAGTGTCACAAATGGACAGTGAAGCAACAGCTCCCCTAGTGGCCAGAATACCCTCATGAAAAGTTGGAATGTTAAATTGCCTCTGTGTCTATCTATATATGTTGTATGTCTATAGCATTGAATGTTTGCCATGTACATGTACATTGTAATCCGCCCTGAGTCCCCTGCGGGGTGAGAAGGGTGGAATATAAATACTGCAAATAAATAAATACGGAAGGAAGCGGGGAGAGAGGGAGGGCAGGCAGGCAATTTGTGCAGGCAGTTATTAATTCTCTGTCTCACAAAGTAAACAGCAGAAGCCTAGTCTCAGGAGCAAAGTTTAGAAGCACGGCTTCTAAATTGGAGACCAAACAAGTTTGAACTTTGGAACTATTCTTAGGAATTAACAGTGGGCCTTCTTTAAGATCCTATTTAAAATAAAACATTAACTTAATGCTTTATATGGAAACCACTGTGGCCAGAACTCTGATGGACTACCATAAATGTGTAAAACAGAGTGCTTTTGTGATCTATGAGCATATACCATAATGTAGAGAACACAGATTGACCACGGAAATCCCCCAGTGCCCACTCATTGGGCAGCAGCTACTTCGTTCAATGGGAGTCTATTCCCCAGTCACTCAAGAAACTACTAACTGATGGTCTCACCTTCCTTATGCAAGGAATCTTTGGTGCAGGAAGGAATTGGAATAGAGTACCCTTTTCTGCCCTGTGGCAGAACCCCTAGTGGTGCAGCAGCTTAAACTGCTGAGCTGCTGAACTTGCTGACCGAAAGGTTGCTGTTTGAATCCGGGGAGTGGGGTGAGCTCATGCTGTTAGGCCCAGCTTCTTCCAAACTAGCAGTTCGAAAACATGCAAATCTAAGTAGATCAATAGGTACCATTTCTGTGGAAAGGTAACAGCACCCCATGCAGTCATGCTGGCCACATGATCTTGGAGGTGTCTATGGACAACGCTGGCTCTTTGGCCTAGAAATGGAGATGAGCACCACCTCCCAGAGTTGGACATGACTAGACTTAATGTTGAAGGGAAACCTTTATCTTTACTCTTCCTGCCTGATGCACTGCAAGATGCTCATGGAAAAGGCTAGACTGTTGGTCAGCTGCTTCCTGGTCAACAGGAAAACAGAGCTCCGCCGATCGTAGAGGTGGCTGCTCAGAAAGTGGAAAATGGAGGGATCAGGACAGAACTGACTGCACAGCAGTGTAACTACAGTGCTCTGATATACATAACTCCCTAACAGGATGCCAGTCTGGTTTTTAAATAGTACAAAAACTTTGATTCAAATCCTACTGAATCAAAGTTGTTCAAGTTTGATCAAGTTTAGTCTCAATCTCTTCTTTTCATATACCTGATTTAACTTTATTTTTCTTATTTGAGCTGCTTGATATTCCTCCTCTATCTAGAAGGAAGGAGGAATGTCAGGCAGCCAATTGAGCTGCCTAACATTCCTCCTCTATCTGTCTTCTCACACTATACTATATCTATTTTTATCAGAGATAAACTTCTATTTTAAAAATACATTTGAATATTTACATTTGAATATTTTTTCCAGTAGTAATAGGCAGTACAAATACTCCTCCTCAGCTAGGTTTCTTAAATAACCAAGATCTCCGATATTATCGTGAATGTCCTGACTGTGACTAAACATTACAACCTTCAATGTAACATGTAAAATGGGTAGTAGTATTTACATTTCCTTGCATGTATCCTTTCAACACTTCCTGCAATTGAATGGATTTTACATAATGGTGGGGTTTTTTTTTAAGTATTTGAATAAATGTTCCACTTTTCACTATATGAATATTTTGAAAGAAGCATAATCATAACAGCAACAGACTATTAGTTACGCAACCTAAGAAATTCTTCTATGAGGTTAGTTGAAAAACTGCTGGTTAGCAGACTAGAAAGAAGTATGGATTACTTTAAACATTTATTATTTGAAACACAACAAGATGAGTCCACAGCAAACAAGATCACTATGCTGGTTGTTGTTGTATTGGATCACACGTTGGACACTTCCCAAGTGTCTAGGACTGTGTGATGTAAGGCGAATAATGCGTGCAGATCCGAGAAGGGTGGCTTTTACAGCTGACAGATGGTAATTTTGTCAGCGCCCATTGTGATTAAGTGCAGACCAAGGACTTTAGGCACTGCACCCAGTGTGCCGATCACCACTGGGACCACCTTGACTATTATTATTATTATTATTATTATTATTATTATTATTATTATTGCATTTGAAAAACACTTGGGCAAATCACAGTCTCTCAGATGCAAACCTCTTCTGAACAAATCCTGCCAAAAAAAACCTGTGATAGGGTCCCCTTAGGGTCACCATAGGTGAGAAACAACTTGAAGGCACACAATAACAGCAACGACTATGATTTTCATATAGTTAATAGTCTCATTCAGCCTTGAGCTCCAATCTTGGAGAAGAGATGAGATAAGGATGATAAGAATCGCAATAAGAAGAACAGGATGTGAGCTGTCACCTTGCAGTCACACTAATCAATCCAAGGTTGTGCTATTGCAAGTACTTTTATGGATATTTCACAAGGAGGCATCCAAAACTTCCTTCTGCAACTTTTTTTTTTTTTTTTGCCTTGTTGCGGCCATTGATAGTCCATGACTGTGCTGGGAAAGTGTCATCCCTGACCTTCGTGGAAGAATGCCAATGGAGCTTGACACTTGGGCTACGTCAAATAGCATCTCAGCCCAAGTTCATTTAGACTGGTGTGCCAATATCATACTTGATAACTTACCAAACAATGTGCAGAACATCCCTCCAAGAATCGGGTCAGGGAGAGAAGCAAACAGAGCTGTAAACTTGCCAATGGTTCCCAAGATAAGCATGATCCCGGCACCATACTGCACCACTTTCCTGCTGCCCACCTGCATGGGGGTAATAGCCAGTTACTCATCTGATGCTTTTCACAATGTTATCCTTCAGATCTATAGAAATCAACTACTATTTGTTTCTCATGTATCTGCTGGTTGACTGTTGTACTGTGACTAGACTATGACCCATCAGGAAATAAGAGTTTTTTGCCTTTCCTATTATTTTGTTAGTTCGCTAGTCACCTTATTTCCCTCTTTTCTTCAAGATGGGACCCAAACTGGTTCCACATCTTGGGAATAGCCACCAATAAGGCTGTGTCTTCACTAAATAGGACATTATATATTTCCCGTAACTGTGTATTACAGATAGGCTATTTTAGACTATAAGTAGGGATCTGAACCATAATTATGATATGTAAATACTGACATTCTTCTCACAGGCAAAGTGGATTCCTTAAAGTGAAATCCCACCACTTTCTACATAGAAGTAAGATCCACTATATTTGGTGGGCTTACTCCAAGTAAATGCATACAGGTCTGCAGCCTGATTGAACAGATATTTTCAAAAGTTGACAGTGATCCTCAAGCGCACAGCTGACTATTGCAGGCATAGCCCAGCAAGATGTAAATCTATGGATGTAGGTGATTCCAAATCAATGAAACACAGCATGCATTTTGGGTTCTACCTGACCTTTACAGGAGTGAAGCCAGGTATCAAAACCTATTTTGGAGATGAGATTCAGCAACTCTGAGCCCCCTTCTACACTGGCATATAATCCAGATTATCAAAACAAGTAATCCAGATTATTTGCTTTAAACTGGATTATATGAATTTACACCGCCATATAATCCAGTTCGAAGCAGATAATCTGGATTTTATATGGCTGTTTAGAAGGGGCCTCAGAGTTCCTATACAGTTCACCAGAGTGAACTCACTACACTGCTGACATTAATGCATCCTAGGTTTCTACGTTTCATTCATTTCAATATATTTCATGGATGGATTCAATATACATATAAATCTCTCCCAATGAGTTCAGTGCAAATTTAGCAGTGCTGATTGCCTAGGCTTGATTATACACTCAGCAATCTAGAGCCCGTCCACACAGCCCTTTATTCCAGAATATCAAGGCAGAAAATCCCATAATATCTGCTTTAAATATCTGAGGGCTCTTCCAGACAGGCTCTATATCCCAGGATCTGATCCCAGGTTTTTATTTATTTATTTCCTATATTTCTACCCCATCTTTCTCATCCCCAAGGGGAGACTCAAGGCGGCCTCATAAAAGCATCATAAGACGCCAAACAACATAAAAGCAAGGTTCTTGTGGGTTTTTTCGGGCTATAGGGCCATGTTCTAGAGCAGTGGTTCTCAACCCGGGGTCCCCAGATGTTTTTGGCCTACAACTCCCAGAAATCCCAGCCAGTTTACCAGCTGTTAGGGTTTCTGGGAGTTGAAGGCCAAAAACATCTGGGGACCCCAGGTTGAGAATCACTGTTCTAGAGGCATTTCTCCTGACGTTTCACCTGCATCTATGGCAAGCATCCTCAGAGGTAGTGAGGATGCTTGCCATAGATGCAGGTGAAATGTCAGGAGAAATGCCTCTAGAACATGGCCCTATAGCCCGAAAAAAACCCACAAGAACCTAGTGATTCCAGCCATGAAAGCCTTCGACAATACATCATAAAAACAATCAACAATCAGCAATATATTAAAATATTTAAAACAGTAATTAAACAATTGATTAAAAACACTCCTGTTAAAATCAGAATCCAACATCCAGAGTCCAAGGTCCAGTCCGGGTCAATTCATAGCCTTAATACTTCTTTTACTTGCTGTTATTAGTGGTTGAATGTTTGGTCCCATAGCCAGGTCTTAAGTTTCTTTCTGAAAGACAGGAGGGAGGTGGCCAATCTGATGTCCCTGGGGAGGGCGTTCCACAGACAGGGGGCCACTGCAGAGAAGGCCCTGTTCTTTGTCCCCACCAGTTGCATTTGCAATGGCGATCAGGATCGAGAGCAGGACCTCTCCAGATGATCTTAAATTTTGTAATGGTTCGTAACAGGAGATACGTTCAGACAGGTAGTCTGGGTGAGGACCGTTTAGGGCTTTAAAAGTTAAAACCAGCACTTTGAATTGTGCTCAGAAGCTGATCGGCAGTCAGTGGAGCTGGCGTAACAGAGGAATTGTGTGCTCCCTGTACCCCGCTCCAGTGAGTAACCTGGCTGCCGACCGTCGGACTAATTGAAGCTTCCAGGCAGTCTTCAGAGGCAGCACCACGTAGAGTGCGTTGCAGTAGTCTATTCGGGATGTAACAAGAGCATGGACCACCGTGGTTTTCTGTTTATCCCAGATTATCTGGCAGTACGGACTCATATAATCCAGTTTAAAGCAGAAAACCTGGGATCAGATCCTGGGATATAGGGCCTGTCTTGTAGGGCCCTGAGTCCACACTCAGATAATGTGGGGTTTTCTGCCTTGATATTCTGGGATATCACCTTTTAGTAATCCCAGCATTCAAAGCTCTGATTCTGCACTGATCATTTAGCATAGGAGAAAAGCAGATCAGCCCCATAAACTTTGACTAGTTAGACTCCAAGCAAGAAAAAGGCAGATCCCACCAACATGCAAGGCAGCACATCTACTTTCACTTGTAGGTGTCATTAAAGGTCAATAAATCAATTATTTCTAGGGATTGTGGGGTTTACTTTTTTCTTTGTGGGATTTGCTGCCTCCAGTGCTTTACAGAATATGTAGACTTGTCAGGGAACCATTGTCTGCTCCACCTCCAGCAGCAAAATGTCTTGGGCCAGCCCTGAATAAGCTCCTCGAAACAGAAGATGCTGTTATCAAACATTGCAGGGTGATACCTTGGTGATGCCCAAGACTCCAATGTTAGGGCTTGAGGAAGTAGAGCCATTGCCAGTGCCCAGCAATCCGGCAATAATACAAGAGATCCCCTCGGTAAAAATGCCCCTAAGAGAAAAGGAAAGGAAAAAGTGTTGGAAATGACAACCTTCTTTGAGCCTTCTCTAGTAATGTTTATCTATGATCCTGTTACTTACTGTTTGTATGTACGAGGGCTGAATGAAAACTAATGCCTCCACTTTCGTTACTTGGGTTTGGATGGGAATATTTTAATAAATCAAATGCAGAAATAATCCTTAGAATGTGCTCCTTAACTACCACTATTCACTTTTCCACATAATCACCAGACAATTGGATACATTTCTGCCAACGATGAACAAGTTTTCAGACGCCATCACGGAAGAAGTCGATACTCTGTTTCTGCAACCAGCGTCTCACAGTTCTCTCAACGTCTTCATCAGAAGCATAATGATGTCCCTGCAGATCTTCTTTCATTATCAGGAACAGATGGAAGTCAGACGGTGCTAAATCTGGACTGTATGGAGGATGTCGTACGGTGGTGAGATCCTGTTTCTGAAGTTTCAAGTCTGTGCACTTTCATTTCGGGCGTCAGCATCCTGGGTACCCATTGTGCACAGATCTTCCGATAGCCAAGCAAAGCAATAATGTGACCCACACGTTCTTGTGAAATGCCGATTATGTTTTAAATTTCTCTCTGAGTGATATGACGATCGTCCTGAATCAATCTGTCAACCTTTTGCTTGTGAAACTCGGTGGTTGCTGTCACAGGACGTCCAACTCTTTGTTTGTCATGCAAGTCAAATGTTCCCACCTCAACATCTTTAAACTTACTCGCCCAATGATGCACAGTACTCACATCAACACAAACACCATAAACAGCTTGCATTCTCTGATTAATCTCTTTTGGGGTGACAGCTTCTGCTGTCAAGAATTCAATGACTGCACGTTGCTTAAGTCGCATTGACTGACCGTCTGCGCAGGGTTCCATACTTTGCATTTTAACAACACAACTGTTAAATGCGAAGGCTTTCCACCAAAATAGAACTGTAAAGGAGAGTCTACTGAACAAGCCAGTACCTGCCGCATACCATTCCTGCCATCTGTTGAGGAGTTACGAAGGTGGAGGTATTACTTTTCATTCAACCCTCGTATGTTCTGGCATGCAGCTTCCTTTACTCTATGGTTCCTGAGAAGTTATAAAAGTGGCTGCAAACCACATGCTCTTTCTCTCTCAATCCTTTTGACTATGTGACCTGTTGATAATTTTTTTTGTTATAAGAGAGATGCCCTGGCTGGCTGGCACAAAGAACCATCTCAAACATATCTGAAACTAGACTGATAAGTTTAGTACCTGTGTATGCTGAACACATGAAGATCGTGAGTAAACTACATATTTTTTAGATCAAAGTCTACTTCATTTTTGTCTCTTGAGTGCATGATATAAAACAAGTTGTTTTATGGGAGTGTGTGTGTGTGTGTGTGTGTGTATATATATATGCTGTTTTTTATACACTGGCAAATCTCTGTTTTCCTAACAGATCAGAGATAACAGGTTATTCAGTCTAACAACTGAAACCATTGCCTCGCATAATTATATCTGGTTGTATACCACAAAAGAAGATTCTACTCTAAAGGCTTTTTGCCACTTCTCTGAAAGGTCATGCTTTTCTAAAAGTTATGATCGCCAAAAGGTGGTTTTTCCAAAAAGTTATGAATGCCATTTTCAAAAAAAGAGAGAGAAAGAATGAACTCTAACTATGGCATGACGTCTCTTCCCAATAAATCCTCCCCATGCCCTCCCAGTGAAAAAAGTTCCCTCCCACTGTGTGTACAGTCTGCGAGAATATTTTTGGCATCACAAAATGTGCCAGTCACCCCGCATAATGAACTCGCTCGCATCCTCTCATGTTGTCTGCTGGAGCCATGCAGATGATATCCAAGGCTTACCTGTTGATGGCATGGACAGGGGGCGGAGGAGCCCCTGCAAGCCTGGCACATGAATAGTAGTCCCCGATGGACTCAATGATCCCAGACAAGGTGGCACTGAACATTCCCAGCACGGCAGCTGCTGTTACTGTGGGGATTCCCCATTGGCCTACAAGGATCAGAGGACAACCAGGGTTAGTTGAGACATACAGGACCCTCTTGGATCTCAATTCATTTTCAACCAATGGCACACACAGCACGCTTTCAGTGTTTGAATGTAAAAACATTATTCTTTATATATTCATTATTTAGTACATTTATAGCCCTCCAAGTAGGTACTACACAGGATTATGGTGAAAGTAAAACACAGGAATAGCACTAGAGAATACCAAATACTTACACGGGTAGGGAAAACGGAACCATGGTGCAATAGATATGATTTCACCTCGAGCATCTGTCCTGGCTTTGAATCCATAGGCATTTGCATCACGTGGAAACACATCTGTGACCGTCAGAATGTAACACAGCAGCCAGACCACCAGAATGGCCAATATGATCTGAAGAAGGGACACAGTAGAGTGCAAACAGTCCCATTATCTTCCATATATTCATACCAATTTCTAAAGTCTGACAGAAGAGAAGAACTACAAGCTGGGCGAGTAACCTTTCTAAATCACATTACAATGAGTATATTATGCATTTAATATGTGTAGTCAGAGCATGATATTGTTCGTATGACCTACAAGAAGCACTGCCTGAACATCAAGCAAAAAGTGGGTGCTAGAAACAATATCATACGAAAGCTGACTGGCACAACCTGGGGATCACAACCAGACACAGTGAAGACATCTGCCCTTGCGCTATGCTACTCTGCTGCTGAGTACGCATGCCCAGTGTGGAACATATCTCACCACGCTAAAACAGTGGATGTGGCTCTTAATGAGACATGCCGCATTATCATGGGGTGTCTGCGCTCTACACCACTGGAGAAACTACACTGCTTAGCCGGTATTGCACCACCTGACATCCACCGGGAAGTAGCAGCCAATAGTGAAAGGACCAAGGCAGAGACATCTCCAGCTCATCCCCTGTTTGGGTATCAGCCAGCACGCCAACGACTTAAATCAAGAAATAGTTTTCTAAGAGCTACAGAGACATTCGCTGGAACACCTCAGCAAGCGAGATTCCAAAAGTGGCAGGCTCAAACCCAGAACCTCTACCAATGGCTGATACCAAATGAGAGACTCCCCCCTGGGCACACAGAGGACTGGGCGACTTGGAAGGTGCTGAACAGACTGCGCTCTGGCACCACCAGATGCAGAGCCAACCTAAAGAAATGGGGCTACAAAGTGGAATCCACGACATGCGAGTGTGGAGAAGAGCAAACCACTGACTACCTGCTGCAATGCAACCTGAGCCCTGACACATGCACAATGGAGGACCTTCTCGCAGCAACACCAGAGGCACACCAAGTGGCCAGCTACTGGTCAAAGGACATTTAATCAACTACCAAGCTTGCAAATTTTGTATTTTGTCTGTTTGTTTTGTTCTGTTAGAATTGTAATACAATTGACTGGTTGCCCTGACACGACAAATAAATAAAATATGTGTAGTACTCTTGGTACTAGTGTTTTCATTTAGACTGTAGGGAACCTTTATGTCTTTTCCAAGTGCTTCTGGGCTGGGTGAAACTGAGGACCAAACATGTCAAATCTTTCTTTATTATGGTCATAGACCAGCATAAGGAGAGTGGGTTAGAGTCTCTTAAGGTACATAGCTAAGTTCCTGTGGGATCACAACTGTGTGTGTGTGTGTTAAGAGAAAAAGACTCACCTTGGTTAACTACAATTCACAAACTGAGTAATTGGAGTAATTAAAGTCAACAAGTTTTGGGCCACTCCCAAAGGGGAGTGCTTGTCGTATGATTTTGGGCTTACTGAATGTTTGCTCCTGAGTTTACTCGACGTAAGCTCCTGGCTTGCAGCCTATTTGATGCTTGCAAGTTTGTATTCCATGCTTGTCTCCATGAATAAGAAATGAAGACTGAGAGAAGATATATTTTCTGATGTAAATTAAATGCAAGGACCATATGTGAGTTTGATACTCCAGAGGAAATGTCACTGTATTATTACTGGAAAGTTTGTGTTGAAATGGCTGTTTTTTCCATGAACTCTGCTGCATAAGAGTAAAGTTTAAGTTCTGCATTTCTTCTACTTGTGTTGCTCATTTCTGAATATGCAAAGGACTAATCTTCTACTGGTCTGCACACATCATCACACTGTAACAGAGTCTGATAAAAGCATTATACATTAAAATCAAAACTCAAAGCTAAGATGCAAATAGGTTGCTGTGAGTTTTCCAGGTTATATGGCCATGTTCCAGAAGCATTCTCTTCTGACATTTCACCCACATCAATGGCAGGCAACTCCAGAGGTTGTGAGGTATATTGGAAACTAAGCAAGGGAGTTGTAGGTTTTTCGGGCTATATGGCCATGTTCTAGAAGCATTCTCTCCTAACGTTTCACCTGCATCTATGGCAGGCATCCTCTGAGGTTGTGAGGTCTAAAATCCTACAGCAACCCAGTGATTCCAGCCATGGAAGCCTTCGACAATACATTAAGCAAGGAAAGTTTATATATCTATGGAAGCCCAGGATGGGAGAAAGAACTTCTGTGTGTTTGAGGCGAGTATGAATGTTGCATTTAATCACCTTGATTAGAATTGCAAAGCCTTGCAGCTTCAAGGCCTGGCTGATTCCTGCCTGGGGAAATTCTTTGTTGGGAGGTGCTAGCTGGCCCTGATTGTTCCATGTTTGGAATTCCCCTGTTTTCTAAGTGGTGTTCTTTATTTGCAAATGTATATTAAAATGCAAATGCATATTTAAAAGCCACAGTGTCTGAAAAAGTTTCTTTTTATTCAAAAGAAGCCAATTTGGAAAGCTAGTTTGATGCAGTGGTTTGAGTGTTGAGTGACTCTGGAGACCAGGTTTCAAATAGCCACAAAAACCCATTGGGTAATCTTGAGCAAGTCAGCCTCAGAGGCAAACAAATCTTGCAGAGGACAAACCTATAACAGGTTCACTTTAGGACCGTGGTTCCCAAACTGTGGTCCATGGACCCCAGTGGTCCCCAAGAACTAAAATATGATCCGTGGCCTGAGCTTTACTACACCGTTGCAACGAGTGCAACTGGTCTCACGAAACCCTCTTATAGTGCTGAGGCAACGGGCATGTCAGGAGGGGAGAGACTGACTACCCATGAAAGGCGTGACAAGCCTCCTGCCTGCTGCTTCTCTTCCTCTTGAGCAGAGCCATTCCATGTGGTCCCTGGAAGCAGCAAGGCCTTGATGTCTTCGTTTTTAGACCTGTTCTTTGGGTTATTTGGGGTGCTGATTCAGAAAACTGCATTGGATAGACCACATCAGCTCTAGATTATTAAATATGGTTTTCTGGGGGCGGGGGGAGAGATAGTGACTACTGGGTGGCATATGTTCTGTATCAGAAGCTAGAGCTTATTTATTTATTATTTACTAGCCGTCCCCTACCACGCGTTGTTGTAGCCCACATGGGGGTTCTGTGTGGGAGGTTTGGCCCAATTCTATCGTTGGTGGGGTTCAGAATGCTCTGTGATTGTAGGTGAACTATAAATCCCAGCAACTACAACTCCCAAATGTCAAGATTCTGTTTTCCCAAACTCCACCAGTGTTCACATTTGGGCATATTGAGTATTCGTGTAGAGTTTGGTCCAGATCCATCATTGTTTGAGTCCACAGTGATCTATGGATGTAGGTGAACTACAACTCCAAAACCAAAGGACACTGCCCACCAAACCCTTCCAGTATTTTCTGTTGGTCATGGGAGAACTGTGTGCCAAGTTTGGTTCAATTCCATTGTTGGTGGGGTTCAGAATGCTCTTTGATTGTAGGTAAACTATAAATCCCAGCAATTACAACTCCCAAATGACAAAATTATTATTATTATTTTGGGTAAAGGGCATACATTAGTTGTTAGGTGTCCTGTGTCCAAATTTGGTGTCAATTTGTCCAGGGATTTTTGAGTTCTGTTAATCCCACAAACGAATATTACATTTTTATTTATATAAATTTACTACATTTGTATACCCCCCTTCTCAGCAAGCAGGCTACTCAAGGTGGTTTGTGGTCTGTCCAATGCATTTTTTGAATCAGCACCCCAAATAACCAAACTGAATCTAAAACTGACCAAAAACTGATTCGTAACCTTTTTTATACTAATGTTGGAGAGTGGTCCCTAGTTAAAAAAAATAGTTGGGAAACACTGATCTAGGATCATCATGCATTGGAAATTACTTGAAGGCACACAAAACACTACAGAAATGGAGGGTAGTATTTAACCTCTACACACTCCAGTGGCTTAAAAACTAAATTCAAGATCTACACCTATTTTACATAAGAGCTATAAAAGGGAGAGAAAGAAACAGAGAAACTTCTTTCTACCAAAAGGAGAAACCAATTTAAGGTTTTGTCACCCCATGCAATTAAAACACATTTATTCTGCTTTCACTGCTGTAGTTCCATCATCTATAATCCTCTGTATTCTTATCCTAAAGGTTGGGAAGATAAAATAGTAGGGACTGGGAATTCATATACCACTACGATGTGATTGGAGGAAAACGGCAATAAAGTATAATACATTTTAAAGCCCCACAAGTCATCTGTATCTAACTAAACCGTGGCCACAGGATGCTTGCACCATCAGCCAGCAAACAAAGGGAACCCTTCTTACTGGAAACATCTTGAAGATCTGTATCCGGAAAACCGTGCATCCTTTCCCAAATTTGTAACCAGGTAGAAGAAAAGACACGTTGCGCAGGTACTGAGCAAACAAAATGATCAATACAATTGACCTGTTGAGAAGAGGCAGGAAAAGAACTTGTCAGAGCAACTTGACCACAGAAGTGTTAGCGTTCTTTGCTGTATTTATGGGTCCTGTCAAGGCAGAAAATCTCACAATATCTGCTTTGAACTGGGTCATCTGTGTCCACACGGCCATATTTCAGTTCAGAGCAGATAAGGTGGGATTTTATTCATCTGTGTGGAAGAGGCCTAAGGGTAATAAGATTAGCTTAAGAGTATCTAGACTCCCCTTCCCCTCAACCTTTCTGCAAATTTCACAACAAACATGGACAATGGAAGGTTCTCTCATGAAATGACCCTGAATCTGATCTGGACATGGCTAGATGGTTAACTGCATTGGAGAGGATTTGGCCACATTTTATGATCTCCAGTTGTAGAGTTCTTGTACAAATTTATTTCCTTTTCCTCCACACCACCATTTTCCAGAGTCCTATGCAGACCTGTAAAAATGGCAAATGAACGTGGGGCTGAGGAACTTGTATCTGTTTAAAAGCTACACATGTGTGTGTGTATATATATTTGTGTGCGTGAGAGAGTGAATGAATGAGCTCAAATACCTATGTTATATTCTTAAAGCTGTGATCCACACGTATTTCAGCCATCACACTCCCAAGCTTGCAAATCCCAATTGAAATCAAATTGGGATTTGCAATAAAAAAGGCAGTTTATATGGACACAGAACTGCAAAGTTGCAAACCCCATTGCTTACAATGTTTTCACCACACCACAGATATTCTGTCTGGTTCTTCTTTTCACCTCTCTCATAAGTTTTGATTACTATCACCACATACTCAAAATACTCTACACAGTTGGCAGCCCGTGATTTCTATTTTGCAGGATTTTTTTTGTGTGAGGAGCAACTTGAGAAACTGCAAGTCACTCTTGGTGTGAGAGAACTGGCCATCTACAAAGATGTTGCCTAGGGGATGCCCAGATGTTTTTGACGTTTTACCATCCTTGTGGGAGGCTTCTCTCATGTCCTCACATGGGAAGCTGGAGCTGACAGAGGGAGCTCAACCCGCTCTCCCCCAGATTCGAACCTCCAACCTGTCGGTCTTCAATCCTACCGGCACAAGGGTTTAACCCACTGTGCCATCGGGGGCTCTTATTTTGCAGGATAGGATTGAGTCTGTTTAAGTTTGTACTTTAGTGGAGCTGTTTAATGGAGAGGTTCAGCACCTTGGATAGCTCCTTTAAATACAGAGTGGATTCACCTCTGGGCGGACACAGGAGTTACCTCCTGCCATTGCAAAGTCCTGTTTTCATCTCCACATGGACACAAGCAAAAGGCAGCACACATCTAATGACCTGAAGAACAATAATCTATAATATAACTGTCTGCTTCACTTATATATGTCTGGTAGTAAAGTGAGATGACAAAGAAGCGGGTGAGCGGCTATCTGGTTTGTATCTCTGCAGTTAATTCCTTTTTTATTTTGATGTCATTGCCTACATCAGTACAGGGCTCCCACCCTACCCAGCCCCTCAAACACAAAAAAGCAGAGCTTACAAGGCTGCAATGCCCCAGTGTGATCCGGCTCTGTCTCCCGCTGCTTGGAAGACAGAAAGGCCTATTAAGGAGACGGTGGGTGTGACGGTGAGAGGCCCAATGTAGCTCAGCAGAGCCCCAGGCAGGCCCACTAACCCAATGAGCACTTCCACCAGGCTGGAAACGATGATTGCTCCTTGGATCTACAGTCAAATGAAACGAGGAAAAGATCCTATTAAACTGATAGCCAGGGAATGTAAGAAAGTCAAAACAGCACCAGTAAGATCAAAGATTATGAAAACTGCTTATGTCTGCAACAAAATGGCCCATGCATCCTACTTTTTAAGGAATTCTTTACAAGAAGGTGTACCTCAGTCTCAACCCATATAGATAAAGAGCTGCAAGGAAGGGGAATCTTCAATGGCTGTGCAGAAGCCCATTTACACGTAGCATCTTAAGGAGGCACACAGTTCATACAAGACCTTTTCACACTGCCGAATTATGGTGCTAAGATCCCACTTTTGCTTGTGATTGGCTGTGTAGGGAAGGGGCATCCAGAGAAAACTTAATACCTCCTTCAACTACAAACTCCAGGATGACACAAGATGCTGTCACAGTTGTTAAAATGACAGTGCTATTGTTGTATCATGTAGAGGGCCTGGATATGCCTTGTACTTGTATTCAAAGTATGGTTATTATTTCCATATGTGTGTTGAAATCTATTTATCTATGTATCAGGAGCCATGGTGGTGCAATGGGTTAAACCTTTGTGCCAGCTGAACTGCCGACCTGAAGGTCGGCGGGTCAAATCTGCTAGGCTGGATGAGCTCCCATCTGTCAGCGCCACCTTTGTGCCGGCTGAACTGTCAACCTGATGGTCGGCGGTTCAAATCTGCTAGGCTGGGTGAGCTCCCATCTGTCAGCCCCAGCTTCCCATGCGGGGACATGCGAGAAGCCTTCCACAGGATGGTAACACATCCAGGTGTCCCCTGGACAATGTCCCAGCAGACGGCTACTTCTCTCACACAAAAAGTTGCTTCTGAAACAATAAAAAATCTACCTATCTATCTATCTAGCTATTTATCTGCATACACACAACTATTATACAGATCTATATATATTTTACATGCTGCAACATGCGCACAGGATCAGGATCCATTCCAGAGCACTACTGGAAAAGAGTGGCATGGGATTCCCAGAGAATGCAAAAGTGCCACTAGCTCTGAATAGTTGGGTAGTGGACAGGGCCCTCCAGCCCAGAAGGCCCTGAAGTGAAATCCGCAACCCCTGCACTGCATTACACTTGCTTTCAACTCACCCATTTTCCCCTTGGATATTTTTCCCTGCCTCCTCCACCAAACTTTCCTTGAACTTTTAGAATGTGCTTGGCACAAAGCAAAGAAAACTGCAGCCATGCTTAGAAGCCTGAAAGTTTGGTTCAACTTACTTCTCTCATCCTTGGTTGCCATATATGAGATGTATTCAGTGGCAATGTCCAGTTGCCATAGATTTCCTCTGCACAGTTGGAAAAGAAAGATTAATAGATATAAGACCATTAACGCAGAGCCACCAGAATGCATGAAGATATACAAGACTCAAGAAGGGAGAATCTCTTTTAAAACAGACTTTTTATTTGGCATTTTTATATATGTTTCAAATTCTGTATGTTTAAAATTGAATTTAAAATATATTATGCTGTGATTTTAATTATTTTCTTGACTTGTTTTTGGAAGTTGCCTTGAGTCCCACTCTTATAGAAATGTGAGATATATAAGATTAGTTAGTTATTTAGTTAGTTAATTGTTTATCACTGTAAATGGAATCTGAGGGCCCTTCCACACAGCCATATAACCCAGAATATCAAGGCAGACAATCTACAATTTCTGGTTTGAGCTGAATTATCTCAGTCCACACTGCCATATAATCCAGTTCAATGAGGATTTTATACAGCTGTGTGGAAGGAGCCTCAGACAACCCTTCACCCCTATCAGAGTCAAGAAGGGGGCAGCTGAGGAGTGCAAAGATTGAATAGAGGAGCCACCTACATTCAGAAAGATAGCAAAAATAATCATCATTTGCTCACTAGATTTATATCCCATCTTCTTATCATTTAGTTATTCAAAATAGTTTACAAGCATAATTTAAAAATATATAAATTACCAATGGTAGAAAAAACAAAAAAATCACAAAGTCAGCGATGAATGTGTAACCTAGATTCACACATTTGTGACATGGTAGTATTTACAATCCTCACGTCAGTGGGTCTCAACCTGTGGGTCTCCAGATGTTTTGGCCTTCACTCCCCGAAATCCTAACAACTGGTAAACTAGCTGGGATTTTTGGGAGTTGTAGACCAAAACACCTGGGGACCTACAGGTTGAGAACCACTGCCATACATATTCACTACTTTCGAGAACATGTACAACAATCCTCACTTACATGGCAGCAGCTGCTACAATTGAAGGTCTCTTCTCCTGTTGATCACCCACCGCCTCCCACTAGTGATCTCAGGTGTGAGAAGGAATTGCAACCAGGATAGTTCTGATTATGATACCACATATCACACATGTAAAGGGAAGTGTGTGGAAACGCCAGCCAGCTGCTTTCCAATCAAAAGAGGAACAGATTCCTCATCACTCACAGCAGCTGCTACCTGGGAGGTGATGACTGAAGGGAGCAGGCTGGGAGACACTACTTAAATAAGTTTTTTTTTGTCGTGTCAGGAGCAACTTGAGAAACTGCAAGTCGCTTCTGGTGTGGGAGAATTGACCATCTGCAAGGACGTTGCCGAGGGGACGCCCGGATGATTTGATGCTTTTATCATCCTTGTGGGAGGCTTCTCTCATGTCTCCACATGAGGAGCTGGAGCTGATAGAGGGAGCTCATCAGTCTCTCTCCGGATTTGAACCTGCGTTGGTCTTCAGTCCTGCCAGCACAGGGGTTTAACCCACTGTGCCACCAGGGGCTCCACTTAAATAAGTAAATCAGGTGGATACATAGGTGTTAATGCATTTGAGCCAATTTGAATAACATCACCTAAAAATGAAAAAAAACTAGTGGGTAGTAATTAGAAGCAAGTTAGACAAAATTAATTGTCATCAGGGCTTCATGCAAATGTGACAAATGTTGCCTTATTTCTGAAACCTAAGGATAATGGTGCAAAACAAATCAGCTTAAGGGTTAAAGAAGAGTTCTACTAGGTACCATCAACTATTAACTGATCACTCAAAACACAGGCAAGTTTCATTGGCTCAGTGGACCTCTCCTAGTTAGGAATGACAATCCCACATTATCCGCTTTGAACTAGAATATATGGCAATGTGGATTCAGATAACCCAGTTCAAAACAGATATTGTGGGATTTTCTGCCTTGATATTCTGGGTTATATGGCTGTGTGGAAGGGACCTTTGTCATTCTTCCAAATAGAAGACACATTGCTTAATTATTTTTGTTCCTTGTTCTGTGTGATATATCTATTACTCCAGGACAAGAGGTTACAAAAGACTAGTGTGGTTACATGCATATAATGCAATACTCTACCTACACAGAATTAATAACATACATCAATCATACTGTCTCCTACCAACCTGCAGGCTTTGCGAGTTTGGCTTACCCTCTGGAGGACACTTCCATTTATCCAGTGCAAGGATAGATTTGGCAGGGATCAGGAATGCCAGTGCGCTGGCTTGAAACAGAGGTAGTCTGGATTGCCAGAAAGAAAGAAAGAACATGGTTTGCTATCAGCCTGGCTGCTCTCAACTTGGCTCTTTTACATTCACTGAGAAGGAAATCCAAGTAAAACATACCTGATGCCCACAGTGCTTTGGATGAGAGTAGTGATTCCCACGCAGCTGAAGATGGTGCCAATGAGCTGGCTTACCGTGTACTGGTCCTTTCCTACACACAGAGATTCTGCCAGGAGGAAGGGAACAGCGATGGTGCCACTAAAACATGTCAAATAATGCTGGAAAGAAAATTTGAGGGAAGGGTGGGTCAAAGGAGTGTAATCTTAGCCCTTTACCAGGAATGAAACCAGAAGGAGGTCTCCTTCTACTCCTAAAAATAAGAGCCCTCTACCACTATTGTTAAGAGTAGAGACATCACACTGGCCACAAAAATCTGCATAGTTAAAGCAATGGTATTCCCCGTAGTAACCTATGGATGCGAGAACTGGACCATAAGGAAGGCTGAGCAAAGGAAAATAGACGCTTTGAACTGTGGAGTTGGAGGGAAATTCTGAGAGTGACTTGGACCGTGAGAAGGTCCAACCAGTCCATACTCCAGGAAATAAAGTCCAACTGCTCATTGGAGGGAAGGATATTAGAGGCAAAGATGAAGTACTTTGGCCACATCATGAGAAGACAGGAAAGCTTAGAGAAGACAATTATGCTGGGGAAAATGGAAGGAAAAAGGGGCAGACCAAGGGCAAGATGGATGGATGTTATCCTTAAAGTGACTGGCTTGACCTTGAAGGAGCTGTGGGTGGACATGGCCGACAGGCAGCTCTAGCATAGGCTGGTCCAGGATGTCACAAAGAGGTGGAAGCGACTGAACGAATAGACAACAACACTATTGAGTGTGCTCTACGTCCAACTCAGATTTCATCCTTACATGCGTTATTTTCCCTATATCTAGTTATACTTTTCTTCTCTCTGTTTTGGGCTTAGCATACTTTCCAAATAAAGATTGAATAGGTCTAAACATTTTGAAGGCCCCTTAATTCATCTGATCTAGGAAGTTAATAGGGTCAGTCCTGGCTTATACTTAGAAGGGGGATGACCAAGGAATACCAGGTGCTGTAGGCTATTTCAAATGAAGGCAATGAGAAACTATCTTTCAGTCTTCCTTACCTAAAAAGCTCCATGAAGTCTTTGGGATTGCCATAAGATGACACGCGCACACAAGCATACAAAACAGCACTTGACATCATTTTCTCAGAATTCTGTACCATTCTGTTTAACAGTAAATAAGTGGCAAGTTTCAACAAAACCATAGCCTTGTCGAAGGCTTTCATGGGGGAATCACTGGGTTGTTGTAGGTTTTTCGGGCTATATGGCCATATTCTAGAAGCATTCTCTCCTGATGTTTCACCTACATCTATGGCAGGTATCCTCAGAGGTTATGGGGTCACAACCTCTAAGGATGCCTGCCATAGATGCAGGCAAAATGTCTGGAGAGAATGCTTCTAGAACATGGCCATATAGCCCGAAAAACCTACAACAACCCAAAACCATAGCCCTTATGCAGCCACTAAGGGTCAAAACAGACATAAAAGAGAATGCATTTTCCAATTAACCCATTCCCCCTGAGATACATGTCTCAAGAATCATACTTGAAAATTAACCTGTCTATTTTATGAAATAAATGTGTGTGCATACAAATTTAGCACTGAAACAACAATTGGGATTATATTATTGGACATGGATTGGAGCACCGATGATGGAAAAATCGATTGCTAAAGAATGAGCACAGATTGCCAAATTAGCATGTGTTCTAAAGGATAAACAAGTTGAAACCCTTCTGAAATATTAGAAACCATTTATGGAATTTTTTTTAGCAACAGGACATTTAACAATGTAATAATTTTGTCATTGTGGTTATTAATAGCATTGTTTAGTTGGATTTGTAATGTCTGTCTGTCTCTCCCCTTTTCTTCTTTCTGTCTTTTCATTTTCTGAATGGATATAACTTTGTTTGTAAATTAGACTGATGTTATTAATATTCAATCAATGAAAAATAAAGCCCATGAGAATTACTTAGCATGACTTAGGTCTTGAGGAACAGCTTTGGCTCTACTCCCAAAAGTACTGTGTAACAGATGGAGCTTGATCAACTTGTTACCTGAAATCCCAGTAGGATGCAGAGATACCACGGAGGAGCATCTTCAATGGTATAGATCATATCAAAGCCCATCTGCCCATCATGAGACGCTGGTGGGCCTACAGGATTTCTGTTTTCTACCTTTTGCTGTAAATGAAGGATGGAGACATGAGGACAAAGAGGTGGAATCCTGAGAAAGCGTACATACGAGCTCAGCCTTACCCAAACTGATATCAAGGCAGAAAATCCCACAATATCTGCTTTGATTATCTAAGTCCACACTCAGATAATGTGGGATTTTCTGCCTTGATATTCTGGGATATAGGGTTGTGTGGAAGGGCCCTTATTTAGTTGAACAAGTTAACTGCCATACACATTTCTGATCACATTTGGCATTAAGAGGACTCTGCGCTTGGTTGGAGATATGGTGCAAAGTGGAAACATCATCTAGATCAGTGGTTCTCAACCTGTGGCTCCCCAGGTGTTTTGGTCTACAACTCCCAGAAATCCCAGCCAGTTTACCAGCTGTTAGGATTTCTGGGAGTTGAAGGCCAAAACATCTGGGGAGCCACAGGTTGAGAACCACTGATCTAGATGCTCCTTGCAATTCCACTGATCTGCAGCTTAAAGAGAAACCCCATTTATTATGTTGGACAATATGGTTGTGAACCATAGGTTGCATGCATGGTGTTGAGAGAGCAGAGAAGGCAAGAAAAACATAAGTGTGAGAATAAGCCATCTTTTTTTAATGCCACAACACCCAATGACATCCAGCAAAAAGGTAACATTTGCGTCAATCATGGGATTGAGCCGCTAGCCTTAGTTGCAGAATGACAGTCACTTAAAATGTTTCATTTTGGGGGTCTTGGAAACACTGGATAGGAAGGAAGGAAGGAAGGAAGGAAGGAAGGAAGGAAGGAAGGAAGGAAGGAAGGAAGGAAGGAAGGAAGGAAGGGGGGAGGGAGGGAGGGAAGGAAGGAAGGAAGGAAGAAAGGAAGGGGGGAAGGAGGGAGGGAGGGAGGGAGGGAAGGAAGGAAGGAAGGAAGGAAGGAGGGAAGGAGGGAGGGAGGGAGGGAGGGAGGAAGGAAGGAAGGAAGGAAGGAAGGAAGGAAGGAAGGAAGGAAGGAAGGAAGGGGGAAGGAGGGAGGGAGGGAGGGAGGGAGGGAGGGAGGGAGGGAGGGAAGGAGGGAAGGGTGGTTCTGAAGCAACAATACTATCTGAATCAATGTGAAGTAAAACAAACATCCTTCCACATTCTGTTCTTCAGCTTTGCTGTTTCGTTGTCCTTTCCTGATAGCCAGGGCATATATCGTACCAACAGCTTTGCCTTTCAGTCATGCTTAAAATGTCGAAGCTCGAAACTACAGGCAGGTGTATGTGCTGATTAGAAAGAGTAAATTTACCTTGCGGCGAGATGGGTCTTCGGAGCTGCTTCCCATCTCTCTGCAAAGCCAGGCCACACTTTGTAAAGTAAGAAAAAAAATGTGACAACAGTTCACTCATTATCTTGGAAAGGACTTTAGTCAACATACCAAACAAAGACTGTCAATTTATAACTCGAGCCATACTGATTGTAAAAGATGCAGTATGGACTTGAAAGTTCACACATTAATCTTCATTCATCAGGTGCTGATAAAGCCCATCCCCCCTCACTTTCATTATAATGACAGTTTTTCACAGTTCTGTTATTGTATAACTGATTGACTAGCTGATAGCTGACACAGAAACTGAGTTTGGTGATGTGTAAGGCAAAAGCGGTTGGAGTCCAATACCACAGGAATCCACATTTCAAAAAACATCTTCTCCAATCTAACATAGGCCCCTTCCGCACAGCTGAATAAAATCCCACATTATCTGTTTTGAATGGGGTTTTATAGCAGTGTAGACTCGGATAACGGCGTTCCATGCAGTCATGTCAGCCACATGACCTTGGAGATGTCTATGGACAATGCCGGCTCTTCGGCTTAGACATGGAGATGAGCACCACATCCCAGTCGGACATGACTGGACTTAATGTCAGGGGAAAACCTTTACCTTTACCTAGACTCAGATAACCCAGTTCAAAGCAGATATTGTGGGTTATCTGCCTTGATATTAAGGGGACCCTTCCACACAGCTGAATAAAATCCCGCATGATCTGCTTTGAACTGGAATATATGGCAATGTGGACTCAGATAACTTACTTCAAAGCAGATATTGTGGGTTATCCGCCTTGATATTCTGGGTTTCATGACTGTGTGGAAGGGCCCATAGTCACAACAAGAGTCAAAGTCCAAGTCAATCTACACCAGTGGTTCTCAAGCTTCCTAATGCTGCTACTCCTTAATATAGTTCCTCATGTTGTGGTGACCCACAACCATAACATTTTTTTCATTGCTCCTTTATAACTGTAATTTTGCTACTGTTATGAATCGTAATATAAATATCTGATGTGCAGGAAGTTTTTTCATTCACTGGACCAAATTTGGCACAAATACCCGATATGCCCAAATTTGAATACTAGTGGGGTTAGGGTAGGGGATATTGATTTTGTCCTTTGGGAATTGTAGTTGCTGGGATTTATAGTTCACCTACAATCAAAGAATATTCTGAACCCCACCATTGATAGAATTGGGCCAAACTTCCCACATAGAACCCCTATGATCAACAGAAAGTACTGGAGGGATTTGGGGTAAATTGACAGTGATTTAGGGGAGATGTAGTTCACCTACATCCGGAGAGCACTGTGAACCCAAATGACTATGGCAAAGGGGTTCCTAAGACCATCAGAAATATGTGTTTTCTGATGGTCTTTGGCGACCTCTCTGAAACCCCCTCGTGACCCACCCAGGGGTCCCGACCCCCAGGTTGAGAAACACTGATCTACTTTTCCTTCATATTTTGCTCTGGCATTCTCCTGCATAGAAATACAGCCCTCTGTATCTACAGTTTCAACCATCTATGTCTAGACAACTTTCTTAAAATCTCCAAAAAGTGAGCCTTGATTTTGTCATTTTATATAATGGAATTGTTTTACAATGCCACTGTATATAATGGAATAATTTTAACTATACCACTATATGTAATGAGGCTTGAGCATCCACAGTTCAATGTCCGTAGGGGCTCCTGGAACCAAATCGCAGCTGACACCAAGTGCCCACTGTACATAACCTTTATGTTTGCTTTTGACTGTGCACAATCACATTCATAGGATCATTTATCACCAACTTCAGGCTAATTTAGTATTTCCAAAATAGAAATCCAAAAATCATACCTTGATTTTGCTATTTTATATCATGGACACCACTTTACTACACCATTGTATATAATGGGATCTGTGTATCCATGAATTTTGGTTTCCACAGAAGATCCTGGAACCAAACCCCAAAGCTCCATTATACAACCACACCATCTACTTTCAAAAGGCTTTCAAATTTAACCAACCAGATACATATCCACCCTCCTCATTCCATATTTCCAAATAATATATTTACAATCCTATTGCCCAAATTTAACAAACTTTTCCAATCACAGCAATAAGTACTTGAATTTAATTTTTAATTGCCTCATTTATTAGAAAGAGATAGGGCATTAGAAAAGAAAGGGTATAAGGATTGTTTTTGCTAGGAGAGAAGGTAAAGAGAAAAAAGATTTATTGAACTAATCCAAGTTGAAGCAATTTTGAAGATGAGGGTCCTAACACACAGCCTTATAACCCAGAATATCAAGGCAGGAAATCTGCTTTGAACTGGAGTATATGGCAGTGTGGACTCAGACAACCAAGTTCAAAGCAGATATTGTGGGATTTTCTGCCTTGATATTTTGGGTTATATGGCTGTGCGGAAGAGTAAAGAGAAAGCCTGGACACATGACTACTTACCCTCCTCTTGTTGCTCCTCACACTATCCTTGTGGCCTTGATAGCTTTTCTTTACTAAATGCCCTGCTCTCTGTGTATTAGTCCCAGTGCAAAGATACTTCCTCTTTTGATTACCAAGAGTGCTTTCTCCTCCCTGTTCTTTAACCAGTGAATCTGCCTCCACAACTTGCCAAATACACACACCAATGCCTTTGCTCCGGGGTGAATAGACCCACATAACCCCTGGAGATATCTCCTTAGGTTTGAGAAGTAGTCATAGTAGCTAGTACAAGATAGTAAACAGCACAGTTTCTTTTTTTTAATTGAAATAGATTTTTATTTAGAATAAGGAAAGGTATATAGTTTCCAAGTAAAATGGGGGAACATATCATTTGACAGGAAAGTAGGAAAACAAGGGAATAAAAGTAAGATAAAAGGAGAAAAGAGAGAAAAAGGGGAAAAATAAAATAAAAGTAAAAATGAAAATGAAAAAAAAGAAATGGAAAAAATGATAAAAAATAAAAATAGAGTCTTGTGACTTCCTTCTAATTCTTTGCGAGTTCAGCTTTGTTATCTATATGATCTTCCAGGTTTTATTTTAAATTTCAAAAAGATGAGGGGGAAAAATAACAACCTTAACCGGAGGTTTGACCACCTTTGTGGCCCACATTGCTATATTGTTCACGGTTGGGTTTCTTTATTTCTCTTTTCTATATGTTCCTCTACCTGTAACTAGTTTGTTTGTTTTATTGGATTTCCCATGTTCCTCTTTATTAAAAAAGTTAATTTGTCCATGTCTTTAATTTAGTTTTTTTTTTAATCCATTGGCCCCTTTCCGGTATTTCCTTCTGTTTCCACATTTTCGCATAGATTATTCTAGCGGCCAGGGGCGGCTCAACCCATTACACAAAGTAAGCATTTGCGGTATAGTTGATTTTGCCCAGGGGCGCTCTTGGGGCGCTCTTGGGGGGAAATAGACCTTGACATATGCGAGTTGTAGTTACTGGGATGTATAGTTCACCTACAATCAAAGAGCATTCTGAACTCCACCAATGATGGAATTGAACCAAATATGGCACACGATGAACAGAAAATATATATCAGTGATTGTTTGGGGGGGGGGGGTGCCAAAATACTGTTTGCTTACCATTGAAAATTACCTAGGGCCTCCTCTGCTAGCGGCTATCATCAAATACATAAACAGAATGTCCTCATTCAAGTCCAGTTTTATGTCTCCATCAGTAATTCCTAATAAGTAGTATTCAGGGTTTTTTTGGAAATGTTATTTTAAGAATTTATTGGCATTCTTCATGAATCCATTTCCAATATTTCTGAGCTTCCCTACAAGTCCACCGAAGGTGGTAGAAGCTCCCTACATGTTCGTTACATTTCCAACAGTATTTGGAAGTATTTTTGTACATTAGATTTAATTTTTTTTGGTGTAATCTACCACCGGCGGAACATTTTTAACCAATTTTCTTTAAGATCAGTTGCATATGTGTAATTTAATTTTTTGTTCCACATTATTTCCCAAACTGCTAGCGGGATCGGTCTTTTAAAATTTTCTGCCCACTTCAGCATACAGTTTTTTTTTATTACTTCTCCTTCTGTTGACCACTCTAACAGTTTATCATATATTTTTGCTATACACCACACTTTCAAAATGAAGGTATTTATTGCTGGGGAATTTGAAAGAGCTCCATAAGAAGGAAATGAGAAGTTGTCATAGTGGAAAGATGGACAGTCGTTTACGTCAAGAATAGAACTGAGAACGTAGAACTGCACACGGGACAACACCCACGCTATATGGAAACAATTTTGCTGTAACACAGCCCAACAAAAAGATTTTTTTTTTTATGTCTTGGTTTTTAGAGACTTTGATATGGTTATCGTGATTTTCTATGGGTGAGCAGATGGTGACTGGTCGATAGTCTATCTCAAACCCTGGAACTGCTAGGGGGAAACTGGTGCCATTTGTGGAATCAGCAGGTCAAATATATACCCCTATGTGTGTTGGCCAGTGAATCAACTGTTGCTTTTGAACAACAAAAGTAGTATTTTTAACAACAAAAATAGAATTCTACTTGACCTGGCAAAGCATGGATACAAAATAAGCTATTGAGCCTTCTTTCCTTCTGAATAATTTTTAATATATTTTTATTAGTAGGTTTCTTATACTTTGGGGGGGGGGGGTAAAAATAGCCTTTAAAAAAAGAAGAAGAAAAGGGAGAGATAAATTCACGGGGATAAAGGGAGGTAAGTGGGGGGAGGGGTAATAGGCGGGGGAGGGGGGGGAAATGGGTACTAAGGATGGAAGGAGAACCGTAGAAAAAGGAAAGTTGGGGGGGGGGGAAGCAACAGAAAAAGAAGAAGAAAATCTTCAGTGTCTCTTCATTGTGGGTTTCTCTAAGTCTTTACTTTTTCAGATCTGACCTTCCTTTCTTCTTTCTCCTTGGGGTGGTTCTGTATACATCAATATTTGTAGTCTCTTTTATATCAGTAGCTTCATTCTATTGTCTTTGATCCAAGTCTTTAATAAACTCCAATCAGTCATTTTAATGCATTTGTTCTGTGCCTTTGTAATCAGAAAAGTCAGTTTATCTATGTTCATAATGTCTAGGAGTTTCTCTATCCAGTCCTCTTTCTGAGGTCTTGATTTTTGCCTCCATGTCCTTGCATATACTATTCTTGCCGCTGTTGTCTTATATATGAATAGTTTGTTTTCATTGGTGTCCCATTGTAAGTTAATCATTCCTAAAAGAAAGACTTCTGGATGTAATGGGATTTTTCTCTTTAGAAGTTTATGACAGATCTTGTGTATCTCTTTCCAAAAAGCTTTGGCTGTTTCGCATGTCCACCACATATGATCCTTCACACTTTCCACATTTCAAGCACTTATCATTTACATTTTTGGTGAATTTAGCTATCTTTTTCAGTGTCATATATCATTGGTACATTATTTTTGTCCAATTTTCTTTCAGATCATAGGCATATGTATAATTTAGTTTTTTATTCCATATCGCCTCCCAATCCTCCAATGTTATGGTTCTTCCTATGTCTCTGGCCCATTTGACCATATCGTCTTTGATTTGCACCTTCTCCGTGCTCCAATCTAGTAGTTGTTTATACATTCTTGTAATTATTCTTTTTCTGCTTTTGAAAATCTTTTGCCATGTCGAAGCTCAGTTCTGACTAAAATTTAAACCACTCTTGGAATTCAAAAATGAAAACTGACATAGATGTTTGGGGTGAAGAATTGTGTTGAGACTCATACATGTCTATCTGATTACTGATGGTCAGGACAGAAGGCAAACAGGCGTAAAAGCAAAATCAAAGGCTTTGTTAAGTATGAATAAATTAATGAATTAATGAATGGTTAAGTAGGCATGGGGATCCTTACATGAATTGTTCACAGCAGCTGGGCAGAAGGCCAGCAGAGAATAGCACATCTACCTAGTCATATAGTATAAATGGCATAATATGGCTTCTTCCAATTGTCCTACACATACTCAGAGAAGCTGAGATAAAGACAAGTTGTTTGTTTGGCTTTTGGGAAATGTGCAAGTAGTTCTCATAGCCATTTAAAACAAGGATTTTAATTATAAGAGATCAATGTTTCCCCAATCAGCACAAGTTCAGCCTACTCTTGGCTTCTTACAGATTCATGCTCTGTTATAAATCTAGCAGTACTCATTTTATCATACTGTCCCCCATGCTGTTTAATATCTACATGAAGCCGCTGGGTGAGATCATCCGGAGTTTCGGGGTACGGTGTCATCTGTACGCAGATGATGTCCAACTCTGTCACTCCTTTCCACCTGCTACTAAGGAGGCTGTCGAGGTCCTGAACCGATGCCTGGCCGCTGTAACGGTCTGAATGAGGGCGAACAAATTGTAATTGAATCCAGACAAGACAGAGGTACTCCTGGTCAGTCGCAAGGCTGAACAGGGTATAGGGTTACAGCCCGTGCTGGATGGGGTCGCACTCCCCTTGAAGGCGCAGGTTCGCAGCTTGGGTGTGATCCTGGATTCATCGCTGAGCCTGGAGCCCCAGGTCTCGGCGGTGACCAGGGGAGCATTTGCACAGCTTAGGCTCGTGCGCCAGCTGCGCCCGTACCTTGGGAAGTCTGACTTCCCAAGGTAGCCACGGTAGTCCACGCTCTGGTTACATCCCGCTTAGACTACTGCAACACTCTCTACGTGGGGTTGCCTTTGAAGACGGCCCGGAAGCTCCAGTTGGTCTAACGCGCGGCAGCCATGATACTAACAGGAGCGGGTCGCAGGGAGCATACAACTCCCCTGCTGTACCAGCTCCACTGGCTGCTGATCTGCTACCGGGCTCAATTCAAGGTGCTGGCTTTGGCCTATAAAGCCCTAAACGGTTCCGGCCCAAGATACCTAACTGACCGCCTCTCGGCCTATGAGCCCACGAGGACTTTGAGATCTTCCGGGGAGGCCCTGCTCTCGATCCCGCCTGCGTCACAGGCACGGCTGGCGGGGACGAGAGATAGGGCCTTCTCGGTGGTGGCTCCTCGGCTGTGGAACACCCTTCCCGTGGACATCAGGCTAGCCCCCTCCCTGTTGATTTTCCGCAGGAAGTTAAAGACCTGGCTATTTAAGAAGGCATTTGACCAAGAAGTGCAATGACTGGCTATTTGACCATAGGAATGGAACAACGGTAATGATATCGGATTGTGTGTTGACGATGAGACGATTCGGAATGTAGTAGAAATTTTGTAGTAATGCTGATATTTTGATAAGATGTTTTTTGGTAATGATGATTTGTAGATTATTTTGCACTATGTTTTGTAAATTGCACTTGTTTTTCATGTTGTACACCACAATGAGTCGCCCTTGGGCTGAGAATTGCGGTATATAAGCGCAGTAAATAAATAAATAAATAAATAATCACCCACCCGTTTAAGGGGCCGCAATGCCGCAACGGGTTAAACCACTGAACTGTTGAACCTGCTGACCTAAAGGTTGGCAATTTGAAGCCGCGGGTTGGGGTGAGCTCTTGCCAACTTAGCAGTTCAAAACATGCAAAAGAAAGTAGATCAATATGTATCGCTTTGATGGGAAGGTAATAAAGGTGTCCATGAAGTCTCGCCAACAGCACAACCAGGAGGTGCTTACAGACAACAGGCTCCTCAGTTTGGAAATGGAAAAAGAGCACCTCCCCATGGTCAGAGTTGAGCACTGCCTCCAGAAGCCAG